CATTCTGTCCTCACTTCCAGCATTCTCTTTCGTCCATCTAGTCATCCAAAAACCACAAATTTGCAGATCTTTGAAAATCAAAGCCGAGGTTGGAACAGTGACAGGTTCTCTAGACATCCCACCATAAGTAACAAGAGGGCTCCCATTTTGCAAATAACGCATTATTTCAAGAGCACTCTTACCTCCCACACAATTCAGCGCAAGCCTAGGCCTCTCAATCTTATCAGTCTTGAAAATATCTGTAGTCCTCAATTCTTCCTCAGTCAGTACAAACGAGGCCCCAAGACTAGTCAGAAACTCTTTCAACTTATCTATATCATGCCTATTTCTCACTATATTCACTGTTTTCAGTCCCCATGAGCGACAAATCTGTATTACATTTTGCCCACAAGCTGAGTTGGCCCCATTCTGTATCACTGTGTCACCAGGTTTGAGATCAGCAAAGTCCCTCAGCATTCTGTAAGCAGTGCATGGGTTCACTGTGAGTGTGGCTGCTTCTACTATCCCCAAAGTTTTTGGTATTTTGAGTAGGTTTTCTTGAGGTAGGATTAGGTGAGTTCTCCATGTTCCTAGGTTGTTTGTGAGGGGTACAACATGGTCTCCAATGGTGATGTTTGAGACACCAGAGCCTAGCTTCACCACTTGGGCAACTCCTTCATTTCCTGGAACAGCAGGCAATGGGGGTTTGGAAGGGTATTTGCCTTGGATGGTGTTGATGTCAGCTGGGTTCACTGGAGCAGCTAGCATTTGAACTAGGACTTGATTTTCTTTGGGCTCCTGAATTTCATCTGGTTCTTTTTTGAGCACTTTCAGTGGGTCCCCATATTCAGAGTAAATAAGTTTGGTGCTACATAGTCTTTGGTGTATTTGATTTATTCCACTGACTTGGTGGAGTCTAATTGATTTCATCTTTGCTATCAATGACATTGTATTTATTGTGAAAAAATTATGTTCAGCAGGAATAACGATATTTGTTTAATTACTTCCACACCTCAGATTTCAGACTACCTAGCCAGGAAACCCAATCAAAACATTTAATGATTCTACCTAGATCCTTTTAAGATAAAAACAATTTTCTATAATGATGAACGTTATGTTTCGTTGACTTTATTGACTAGACTTCACATTCGAGTTTGCTTTCACATTTTCCTGAATCATAGGTAGATTCAATTCAATTAAACTGATCAAAAATGTTTCTAAAAATTTTTTAAACAGTAACCTGAAATCGAGAACGACGTGAAGTTGGGTTTCTGTCAACTTCTGTCAAAAAATGACGTTCAGAAAAATGGGAAGAAGATTGCCCGGCCAATTGCGTACTGCACCCGTCAGACAGTCTAGATATTTAGCCGATTGTGCGTTGTGCGAATGGCAAAATCTTTGAAAATTGTCTCTGATAACCAAGTAGACACAAAGATCAACTTATTATAGGCTTGGAGGAGTATTTGAAGTAAAGGTTTGGCATTAAGAATTTGGGAGCCACTTGTGATCGGCAATTCAGGAAATTTCAATTTTACACTACTTCATCCAATATTTTGGCTTCCAACGCACGATTGTTCACATGCAAGATGTGCACGCGATGCGAGATACCACCATATCACACGTTCTATTTTCTACGAAGGTTTGTTTAGACCGGGCTAGGTTATATTCTTCTGAAAAACTTGTTTTCTTTGTTCCCCCTAGTAATTTTACGGAGAATATACACTTACCTAAAAAATAATGCATCGTCAAAAAGTGTCTCAAAGTTTGAAATGAATTTTCGTCGAAACTACTTGTCCGATTTGTACGATTTTTTTTTCGAATGATATGTTATCTTCTGCGGAATATTGGCGTGCAAACTGTTTTCGCATAAGAACTGATATCAAGTTGAAATTCAGAGTGCCCTTTAGCCTTATCATTTTTGAACATTCCTTTTTTGGATTCATTCCATTATCTTTCTAATTTCTCCAGAAAGACACAGATTTAATTGAATTCAATTGACATTATGAGCACGAAAGTAGCAGGCAAAGTTATGGAAAGGCATTTCTTTGACTGGTCGGTGGTCGCATGGTACTTTTGATAATAATAGAAGCCTTTACGAAAAATACATATTGGTGATCTCAGAACCATGGTGTCT